ACACTAGTTATTGGAATCATGTGGCAAGTTTAGCAAATTGGGTTCCTGGGCTCTACACTGAGGTTCTGATTTTTAAAGTCTGGTGGGGTTCGTGGCATCTTTTAAAGCTCTCTGGTGATTTTAGTCATCAGGGTCATTGATTCGGAGAACAGATCTGAGTTCTCCATAATCTGGTCCCGGTTTACTTTCCAACTGCATCATCTCCATCTGCTCACTGAGCCCCAGACACGCTGCGACGATCCTGCCCTAATGTCTTGCCCTAATGTCCTGCCCTAATGTAATCTTCGTGTGGGATTGCCTGTAGGGACATGACACTTTTATTCTTCTCAAGTCCCGTAAAGGCTGAACTGAAGAGGCACTGGAGTTGTGGACTCAGGTTACAGCAGAAGGCAGAGAAGAAGTATCATGTTGAAAAGTGTGATTTTCCTCAGTACACGAAGTTCATCAGAAATACCTAAAATACACTGAATTACTTTTCTCTGGGCAAACTGAGCAGTCTAAGAGGAAATGCTAAAAGAAAAAAATTGTCAATAAAATGCCTGAATCCCTCCTTAATCATCCTATATGAAGGTAGGACTTGCCAGTCTACAAGCCCTACCTATGTACGGTGAACTGCCAATTATCTTTCAGTTTCTCATTTATCATATGTGAATAATAAGTCACGAATTACAAGAGACCAAAACAGACAAACAAATCAGCAAACACCACAGGAAACTAGGAAAACCATAGAGTCCAGAAAGGAGCACAGAAAAAAGGAAAACAGGTCATATATAAAAAGGCAGAGCTGGTGTGGTGGCACATGTCTGTAAACCCAGCACTTGGGAGGCTGAAGCAGGAGGATTGTTGCAAATTTGAGACCAGCCTGGGCTACAAAATGAACTCAAGTTCAGCCTCAACTACATAGGGAGACCCTGACTCAAAAAGACAAAATAAAATAAAATAAAATAAAATGAGGCAAAATAATATAGGACTTTCCAATAACAATTTGAAGCATTAGAAGACCATAGAAAGATATTTTCAATATATTGTGGTAGTTTCCAACTTGAATTTCTATACCCAGATAAACTATCCATCAAGTCTGTGAGTAGACCAGTTCAAATATAGGAAAAAATTCATCTCTAGGATAATTTTTTCTCAGAAATATACTAGAGCTATGAACCACAGAAACAAACCATGAAAGAGAAAGATTGGGATCACTAAATACTGGGTTTGAGAAAGACAGCAGGGCTTTCAGGAGAATGGGGAAGAGCAGATCCAGAACCACACCATGCAGTAGGCTGCAGGAAAAGCATAATCCAGCCTGAAGCAAGAGGCACACAGCTCCCAGAGGAAGAAAAGTGAGACCCTGTTTCAAAACCAGAAGAAAAAAAAAAGAAAACAAAAAAAAGACCATAATTAATAAATCCAAGAAAAATTTTCACAGGAAAAGAAATATAACAATGCTACATTAGATGATTTAGCTATAATATTCTACATTAAAGTAATGTAAATAACAATGTAGATTTAACAAAAAATGTAAATATATATATATTGAGAAGATTAGTCTGGCATAATGATGTATATGTGCGTGTATTTCACTTAGTATGTTCTTGTCTGTTAGACTAAATTATCCTGTTATATTGTATGACCCTGGGGCTGGAACTCTGAAAGGCCGCAGTGTTTCTGTGTCACTGGCTCTGAGTTGGGCCCTGTCGGGGGAACTATAAAGATGCTTCCATCCTGGTGGAGAGGGAACTTTCTGTCTCTCTGCCCACTTCCTTTTCTGTAAATTCCCATTCAGTAGTTATCCATCCATTCATTCAACAGAGATTTGTCTATTTTGTGCCAGGTTCTGCTCTAGGTTTTTACCTTTGAGTAGGGAAAAAAGATATGATATATAAAACAAGTTCATACAAAAGTGTTGTGGGGTTAAAAAGGAACAATGCAGGAAAAGAGAGAGTGTGGTAGGGAGCACAGGAGGTGTACCCTGATTTAAAGCAGGATGGTCAGGGCAGACTTGGTTGGGAAGGACGTATGACACAGGCAGGCTGAGCAAAGGGCTGGCACGTCTGAAGAATGATTCAGAGGCCACGTGACCGGGCAGAAGGGAGAAAGGGTGAAAGAAATGGGAAAGGTGACATTATTTGCCTTTGACAGAAGGAACCTGGAGGTGAGGAAGGCGTGGGCGGAAGGCTGCTTTTCTTTGTTCTAAATTATCTCTGTTCATTTCACCTTTTTAGCTGGGACTATGTATACCTTTTATAAACTTAGAAACTAAATTTCAAAATAATAAATCATCAAATGGGATGTGCTGTGCAGGATTAGATCCTGGAATATAAAAATGGTGTTGTGGAAAAACCAGTGCCATATGAGTAAAATTTAGTTAATCATGACACACCAATTATGTTTTCTTAGTTTTGTTAACATTGGGGATAACTGGGTGAGATGTACGTAGTAATTTTCTGTGTTATTTTTCGGTAAATCTAAAATTATTCAAATTATTCAAAAATAAAAAGTTAGGCTAGGGATATAGCTCAGTGGCACAGCACAAATCTGGCAAGTGTGAGGTGTGAGTTTGATTCCCAGTACCAAACCAAACAACAAAAAGCATCATGATAACTGTTGGTGATATCATAAGGTTCTGAAGTCCTGTATCACTTATACTACTAGTGTTTTTATGGTTTTGTTTTGTTTTGTTTTGTTTGTCTTTTTGAGACAGAGTCTCCTATGCAGTTCAGGCTGGCCTTGAGCTCACTTTGTAGCCCAGGCTGTTGTCAGTCTTTCTGCCTCAGCCTCCCGAGAGCTGGGATTACACGTGTGAGCCACCACACCCAGCTATACTCGTTTATTTTGACCGGTTTTATTCTGTTTTATTTCCCTTGGTTTTATCCTCTTTAAAAATTAAAAAAAAAATCAGGCCAGGGATTTAGCTCAGTGGCATAAATGTCTGCCTAATACATGCAAAGTCATGAGTTCATCTCTGGTACCAAAACAAACAAGCAAAAACCAAAAAAACACTTAAGGTCACACAGTTGACTCAGATGGTAAGATGAGGCCTTTCCCATTGCCCAGCTTTCAGTCCTGCACTCTTCTTCCTTGGATTTAGTCAGTTAGTTGTTACAAGGTAGAGGGATATGATTTATCTGTGGATTTGGGTTGTCCTCAGATGGGAGGAAAGGGACCAGGAGGGAAGGCTGTGCAGAACACATCTTGGTTCCTTGGTGGGTGATGTCTATGAGCTGAGAAGCAGAAACCAGGCCAGAGCAATTATGCAGAAAAAAACATGAAGTACAATTCCCTTAAGTTTTCCAGAGGCAACGTACCAAAAATATCTTCCTAGGACTCCACTTCATGTCACTTAATCTCTGTCTCTCACGAGCTGCAAAGTTAAAAGAGTAGGTTCAAAATAGAAATAACTTGGGAGCCTTGATTTTAGGACTTTGTCATCTCTTTAGAACTTTCTAACACTTTCTGGGGGCGTTCCTGTTGGTGGGGCTTCTTTTTGCTAAATGCTAATATGCTAAAATATTTCTTTATAATGATGCTTCCGGTGTATACATTGGCAGTCTTCAGTGTATGAATTACTAGCAAGTTGTTTTTAACTGTTTTACACAGTTCTGTAATATAAATTTAGAAAAGAAAAGAAGAAAAAAAAATCTTCATGTTTGGTGCCGGTGCTCTGATACTGTTGTGCTCGTTTCTCTCTGGGAGTCTCTTTAGAATCGTAAGAAAATTCTTTCTGTTCCTGCTTCTTCTGTCCAGTACGCAAACTTTGGAAATAAAAGCCAGGAAAGAACGCATGTTGCATGCTATTTTTGTTTTCTCCTCTCTGATACACCTCCTCGTAGATAAAGTAGACTATGACTTAAATTGGAGTAAAAAGAAAAGGAAATGAGAGAATGAGAGAAACAGAAAAATTTTGACAGCTCCTGCATATTACCCAGCCACATTTTGTCTTCCCTTTCAACCTCCAGGATCTGTCTGGTGTGTTTTTTGGCATTGTTAGCAGTGAAGTGGTGATGAGCAATTAGCATTTTGAATTTTTTATGTATAACTTTTTAAAATTATATAAGAAATACATATATCACAGAAAAACTAAAATAAAAGAAAAAAATAATAAAATAGATAAAAATTGCCTGCACTGTCAGAAGTAATTACTTTAGTCCGGATACTATCAGTCATTCAGTCCAAGAAAGTAGCACACACAGAGAAACCAAAATTTCTCAGATGCAGCTTCCTACCCTTCTTGCAGTTTGGTGATTTCATACTTTACCCACCAGACTAATTTGCTGTGTTCAGTGGCACCCTTTTGATTGTAAGTGACAGAAATCCAAGACGAACTTATTTACCCTAAAATAGAAACAGAGGCCTGCTCGGATCATGGATCACGTAAGCAGGCCTACCAGCTCTGCATGGTATTTGACTTGTCATTTAACCTCTTGAAGCTTGTTTTCTCACTCATCGTCTTGTGGGGTTGTGACAGGGGTTGAGTGAAATGAGCCATGTGCCTGGCGGGTGGTAACTGCTCAATAATGGTGCTGGGATCAGCAGTGACTGAGTAGTAGCTGGTGTCCTGAGGGGTGGGCATGGTTGTGTCGTTACCCTGCTGTTACTGGAAGAAATTGGAAGGAAGTCAGAGAACAGGGAAAGTGAAGCAGGGCCTCTCTGCACATGAGCACACTCCTGAGACTATCATGCCCCTGCTGCTGCCACCGTCTCCACCATGAGCCCCCAGGGAGCATTTAGCAGGCCCCAAATGACTACTGCTTGACTAAGGGGTAGCCTCTTGCAGCCACAACAAGGACAGCTTCACACTTCACCAGTAAGGACAGGAGACTTTGCTACATATTATCTGCAGAGCTCAGAGTGTGGCAGCTTCAAATGTTGACTTCTGAGATGCAGAAAGTTCTGTAAGACACCTCTGAGAGTTCAGAGCTGCTGATTCTGTAGAGGGTACACTTGTATACTTCATTATGTCCTATTCCATCTTTCTGTCTTTTTTTTTTTTCTTTTTGATACAGGGTCTCACTATGCAGTTCAGGCTGGCCTTGAGCTCACTGTGTAGCCCAGGCTGGCCTCAAACTTGCAATGATCATCTTGCCTCAGCCTCCCGAGTGCTGGCATTACAGGTATGTGTTATCACGCCTGGCCCTTTGTGTCTTTTTTTTTTTTTTTTTGGTTACATTAAATTCATTTTGAGAGGGGGTACAGTCTAGTTAACATGCGTAATGAAAACCAACCAATGTCCGATAGACTCGGAAAACATTATCTTAATGTGTGATTTGTAGCCTTGGAGCCAGCTGAATATGGAATAAAACCTCCACAAACAGTGAGCTAAATATACCTTTCCTTCCTTCATTTCAGGAGTTGGTTACTTTGTCCCAGCAGGGAGAGAAAAGTAACCAAGACATCTCCACTGATTCACCTTTTCAATCAGGCCTCATCTCCTAACAGTACCTTCGGCTACGAGCTCACTGATGCTTTACTCCATAGATGAGTGAGGATAACACTACATGACCCAAAAGCACTGTGAAAGCCCCAACTCTGAACAGTGAGACTTTTGGGGCAAGGTTAGGTTTAAACCATTGTGGACATTCATTCTCATCTAGTCCTGGGTGTAGGCAAAGCTAGTGGAAAGCCATTGTTCTTTCAGAACACCAGATCTGAGCCCAGGTAGGCTGCTTCTGTGTGAGCAGTGGAGTATGAGTGCCAGGTTTGTGATCCAGGCAGATGAATTATTTTGTAAGTGTGGTTAATTGAGTCATAAATCACAGTCTCGTACCCCACATGACCCCTTTGTGTTTCTTCTATCAAAACAAAGCTCTCCATTAAAATTGAAGGTCAGTTAAACAATCTCTAATCTTCATCCTAGATACAAGGCAACGTGCAATTCATAGTAAGAAAGGTAAGCATATCTCTTCATTTTTCTCATAGATTGCTTCAATATCTGGGAATTTTTGTTTAATCTAAATCCAAGTTTTTTTGGTATTTAAGAAAAATACTCAGCCTATATGTTTGGTGGCTTCTCCATGGCCTAGTTGCAACTCCAATGCTTGATTAGTGCCATCAGACTTGTAACTTAAAGCCTTCAGGAGGCCCAGGTTATCTGTGTTAGATAATTATCAGTCCTCATTATTGAAATCATTCATCCTTTTGTTGCTCTTTATAATAGAGAAAGTGGCTTCCTGCTTTTGGTGACTTGGCAAAACACGAATGTGAGAGAGAGAGAGAAAGAGAGACAGAGACAGAGACAGAGACAGAGAGAGGGGGATGGCAAGGAAGAGGAGGGGAGGGAGGCAATAACAGCTATGCACAGCAGGATCATCCCCCAACCCTTTCCTCTGTCACCCTTTCCCATCAGGAGTCCTTGGTTCACTTTCCAAAGGAGCTGGTCTGCTTTGCTAGAGCGTAGCTCACTGCCTAAACTTGGTGTCAGAATGCAGTAGCTCTTTCTTTAGAAAGTAGCTTTAGAAAGTTCCAAGCCTCTACTACTACAGCCATCAATTTCTTTAAATTAATTTTCACTTTTATCTAAGAAGCACACAGTTAGTGTAGTATATGTGTGCTGCTGCAGTAAGCGCACACATTTAGGTTTAAAAGTTACAATGTCAAAGGCTCATAAGGAAAAGCAGCTGACTCCTGCACCATCTACTCTGAAACTCTTCTCCCATTAACAATTACCTTTTATTTTTATTTTTTTTTCACCACCAGACAGTATGGAAACAATTACCTTTTAATATACATATTTTAATTGACATAATTATTATATATATACTTATGGGGTACAGTGTGATGTTCTGTTGCACAGATGCATTGGGTAATGATCAAATCAGCACAATTACCATACCCATTGCTTCAGACATCATTTCTTTGTGATGAAAGCACTCTTTCTTCTATATATTTTGAAATTTATAATACATTACGGTTAACTATAGTCACCCCACTGTAAAACAGAACACTAGAACTTAGTTGTCCTATTTACTTGTAATTTTGTACTCACTGGCCAATCTCTTCCCTTCTCTGGTCTTTGGTAATTGCTTTTCTATTCTCAATCTCTGTAAGCTCAACTTTTTAGATTTTAGATGTGAATCCCTCTTTGACTTCCTTCACTTAATATCTTCCAGGTCCATCCATGTTATCACTGATGCTGGGATTACATCCTTTTTATGCTCAAATAGTCTTCCATACTATATTATCTTTATCACTCATCTATTTCTGGGGGAGGGTTGGTTTTTTGGAGGGAGCTTCAATTTATGACAGAGTAATTGTGGGTTCTCTGGTGGCAATCCATGGAATCCCCACCCCGCGCTACACACGGCAGCCTTCTGACAGGCAAAATATAAAGATTAAAGAATGGTCATGTGAGAAACATTTTTTAAACAAGGAGAAAAAAGACAAAACACATTAGTTGGGCATGGTAGCACATGCCTGTAATCCTAGCACTAGAAAAGCTGAGGCAGGCAGATCACTCAAATTGTAGGCTGGGCTGCATAGTGAGTTCAAGGTCAACCTGAACTACGTAGTGAGGCTTTGTCTAAAAACAAAGCAAAAATAAGCAAAACCAAATGGGATGAGGTGGCACATGCTTATAATCCTAGAAACTCAGAGACTGAGGCAGGACAAAAGGATTCCAAAATTAAGGGCATCCTGGACTATTAAGTGAAGCTCTGTTTCAAAATAAACAAGAGGGACTTCTGGGAGAACATGGTGGACAAATAACAGCAGCCATGGAGGCTCTCTGAGATTGCCAGCTTGCAATCCAGGAATGGTGTGGTGTGAGGAGTCCTAAGCAAGGGGAGATATACCCTGCCAACTCAAGAACAAACTAACCTGAGAGAAACCAGCTAGAAATGCAATCCCAATGCTATAATAGGAACAGATAAAATCTCAGCGTGGAAGCTGGAACCCGCGCTTCTGGAAGCCGCGATTTGAATTTCCTGCTGCCGCTGCTGCATCCCAATTGGCACAGCAGGGAGAGAGAGCGCGTGAAAGCTCTGAGAGCAGGAATCGGTGAAACAAATGGAGATGAGAGCAGGACTGGCGGGGAGCCTTGCATCGACCTGTGGTGAGTGAGAGGAATGGGGACCCTTTCATAGACTAGGAGGCTCCAACAGAGGACATTCTGGGACCGGGCAGACTAGCCGGAACAGGATGCTGCAGTGACTTTAGTCGCATATTCCCCTCTCAAGCGGGATTGGTGGGGACTGCTTGGCCTGGGTGATGGCGTGGACTGAGATCCAGTAGGCTAGGCCAAACCAGGACCTAGTGCCTGGTGGTGCACCCTAGCAGTGAAGCCTTCAGTAGTTTGACCTGGAGGGGCGGGCCCAGCAGAGGCTGCTCAGGTCTGTGTCTCCCTAGTACACTGTAGTGGATGGGAACACCTAGCTGACAGATTCAAACAAACTGTAACAGACAAAGAGAAAAAAAAACTGGGCCTCCTATATAACAAAAAGTATGGAAAGAGGGAGCAATAAGAAAGGGTCCTCAGTCCCCAATCCTGAGAACACTGATCCAGGAAAGGTAGAATGAAGGAAAGGAGAATGAAGACAGAAAACACGCAATATCAGACACAGCACCAACAGACACAAAGCGATATCTCCGGAGCCTCATAGACGAGTTCAAAAATGAAGTGTTTAATGAAATAAAGCAAGAAATAAGTAGAATAGTGTCATGGTTTATGTCTGTGTCCCCCAGGCCTCATGAGTTTGAATTGTGCATTTGTTATTCGTTCATTGTCTAGTGCTTGGATTGATGGTGTCAGTGCTCCACCCACAAATGGGTGGAGCCAGGATGTGATGTAATGGCAGGAAGGTGTGTCTTGCTCTTTGCCAGTTCCTTTTTGCTGTTTTCAGCCACCATGAAAGGCAGCCCAGCCATGCCTGCCTGTCTTGGAGCCAACTGAGTGTGGACTGAAACCTCCAAAAACTGTAAGAAATAAACCTTTCCTTTCCCAACTTTGGGCTTCAGGTATTTTGTCTCAGTGACAAGTAAAAAGTAACTAAGACAAATAGAGAAATGCTAAGCACCGCCCAAGAAAAAACAGAAGGTGGAATGGAAGAACAGAAAAAAAGGGGAGAATTGTTTGATGGAGAAAATAGAGAAAACATAGAATATGTCAAGCAGGTTCAAAGAGATTACCAGGAAACTAAAAACTCTATTGAAAGCTGGCATAACAGCTTGAAAGAAACTAAGGATAGATTATCAGAACTGGAGGACAGATTTATAAGGTGGGAGCATGAAATGAAAAACTTATTAACAAGAAAAACAACAGCAGTAATACAAAGGCTTGAAGATGATAAAAGGATCTCTAACTTAAGAATTAAGAACATAAAAGAAGAAGTAGGGATACAAACAAATGAACTACAAAAGCTATTCACAGAAATAATCAAGGAGAATTTCCCTAATTTAGCAAAAGGTAAAGATGTATGAGGCATACAGGACCCTAGCCACCTACAACCCAAATAGAGCTACACCCAGACATATAATAATCAAAATTCCAGAACAGAATATTAAAAGCTGTCAGAGACAAGAAACAGGTTACTTACAAGGGAACACCCATCAGAATTACAGCAGACTTCTCAGCACAAACCATTAAATCACGAAGAGTGTGGAGGGAAATAATTCAAGCTTTGAAAGATAATAACCTCCAGCCAAGATTGATATATCCTGCACAACTGTCCCTAGAAATTGATGGAAAAACAAGGTGCTTCCAGGATAAAGAGGAACTAGAGGAATTTGTGACCACCAATTCAACTCTACAGAGAATACTGCAGGATATTCTAAAAAAGAAAAATACCAAGATTCCAGAAACAGTGGCAGAGAGGTCACAATGAATGGAGCAGAATGCAAAATGAAAAAGACAAACTGACAACTAATGACAGAAAAAGAGCTCAACAGAAATAAGGCAGAGAAGGTTGGATGGTATGAACAGCTATTTTGGAGAAAACAAGACATCATAATAGCTAGTGCTGATTTAATATCATCTTGTTTTGAAGTCCCATCAAGCTTTTGTTCTTCTGTCTCCATCGGTTTTAACGTGTTGTATCTTATTAGATTTTATTATATATGATAATATAAACAAAAACTTTTATAGACAAGGAGATTATACAGAAACCATTGTTCATTTTCTGTTAGTTGATTCTAAATACCCTGTAATACTGTCATTCTCTTAAACAGTTTTACATTGTCTTGATATGTTTGATGCTACAGTATATGAAGTTATACTCAGAGATTTCAAGGAAAGAGACACTATGGTAACTACTTTTATGCTGAGATTATTTTGTGGTGAAACACTATTTTGCTTAAATGGTTATGTTTTGACCTGTGCTGTTTTGTTGTTATGCCCTCTTTTATCTCAATCTCCTTTTTTTATTATTTACTTTTTCATTTTCATCCTTTTAATTAAGGGAAAAGTAAATAAAAAATAGGAGGATATATTATAGTAACCCACTTTGATTTCCTATTAACTTGATTTGAAACCCTGTATTGCTCTCACCATCTTTTGACTGATTTTCCTCTATTCTGTTTTGCTTGATAGTACCAAGTTTGAAAGTATAGGCAACAACTATGAAGACAATAAGATTCATTATGACACCCATTCTGGTTGACTATTATCTTCTTTTGAAGTCCTGTAATATCTCCAATGTTTTGGTTTTATTGGTTTTGTTCTTTACTGTTTTGTTCAATTTTATTATAACTGATGATATAGGCAATTCTTTTTAAGATGGCAAGAGGCATTATGGTAACCATTGTTGATCACCTTGTATTTTGTTTTTACATTATGTATTATGTCCATCCTTTTGATTTGACTCTGTCCTGTTATGTTATACTTGGTTTTAGTCTCTTCAAAAAAAG